AGGGAAAGTCTGCAAATATGCACCATCGGGCTGAGGTGACACTCAGGAGGTCACCTAGCCCATGATCCCGCCCTGGGGCAGCAGCAGCTGCAGCAATGCCCTTCCTCAGACGGCTGTGCCTGCGTAAGGACAGCACAGCCCTCCCAAACGCAGCCAGAGCTCGTTTGCAGATCCCTCCTGGATCATGCCCCAGCACGGCCGTTGCATCCTGCCGAGATGGAGCAGCCATGCAGGCCAGCTCGGGCAAGGCGCTGCCAAAAATGAACATGCTCTCCAAGACCCTCGCAAGGCATAAGCTGCAGTCAGTCTCTCGCAGAACAAGGGCTGCCCTGAAGTGGCCCCAAAGCTGGAGGGGACAAGGAGGAGGGGACCCATCCCAAAGCAGAGGGATGACACTGAGAATGAAATACTTCTTCCTCAGGCCCACGTTCAAATCCGTGGGCCAGTGTGAGGCAGAGGAGCAGTTCACTCCTATTGAGCACACACATTCAGAGAGAACGCTGCATGGGGTACTTCCACCAATGACCAGGAACGACTAAGATTCCCAGCCCGTGTTTGTTCTGATTGCAAAGCAGAATGAAACGCCTCCATATATGGAGTGACACCATGGAAATAAGCCAGGTTTAATACCCAGGTGCTAAGTTGTCCTGAGGCATGTGCCTGTAGTGACTGAGCACCTTCCAGGTATTTGCAGGCTGAGGTCTGTTACTCCCAGCACACACTCCTGCCGCCTGCCTCAGCATGAAGGCCAGGCCTGTGGGGAGGCATGGAGCCAGGTGAGGGACAGGGATGTGCATGCCCCTCATTTAATTTCAGCAGCCTCAAGCAATGGGGTTCCTCACAGCAAAGCTATTCCATGGCTTTATTTTTTGCTCCTATTTCAGTTACCATAACATTTTAGGGTTGCAGGTTTTTCTAAAGTCAACGCCCTGGCCACAAGCACTATGAAGAGCTCTCCCTGGGATCCAGCACAGAGTACGTGAAAGCCTACCTTTGCCAGACGTTCCTTCTTGTCCCACCAGTCATCAAATGCCCGAAACGCTACCACTTCAACCATCTTTCGGTTCAGGTCCCTTTTCATGATAGCCTTTAGTTCTTTCACTATGACCAAGAGGACTCCATCCACAGTGGCTTTGTGGGGATCTTCCTTCTTTGGCTCATAACCCGGTGGTGGAACAGAGGGGTCAAACTTGGGCAGTGGTGGCCACTGCTGTCCACGACCAAGAGCTGATCCCATCGAGAAAGGGCGGTAAGGTGGAAGATTCACAAACTGCATCCGACCCGTCATGAAAGGCGGATACTGGTACGTGTTTTGTGCCTGCATCATGCGGCTCAGCATCTGAGTTTGCATCTGGAAGGACATCGGCATGCCACCCCACTGGTTGCCCAAGACACTTATCATATCTACTTGCATGACAGGGAACATGCCAGGATGGAACGGAGGAAGCGGCGGCAAGATATGAGGCGGAGGGACCCCAGGGGGGGCAGGGAGCGGAGGTGGGGGAACAGTCACAGCAGGGTGCGTGGGTGGAGGTGGTGGAGGTAGCGGCGGAGGCATCGGGAAGCCTGGCTGTGGAGGCGGCGGAGGAGGAAGAGGAGGGAATCCCGGTGGTGGCAAGGGAGGAATTGACGGGGCCATTACAGCCGAGTTGCTGACAGAGGAGTTCACCACAATGGTTTTGGCACATTCTGCACTAGTGATGGGCGCAGGGTTGGTCTCGTCGTCAGAGATTTCCATGTCCTCCCCTGAAGAATGCTGACCCTGCGACAAAAGAGAGAGAAAAGGTGAGGAGCACATTCCTTTTACACCAAATACCACAGCGCTGGCTGCTTCAAACAAAAGCTAAGTTTAACCCACGTTTTAATTGGGAACGGAGAAAAGCGAGCGATGCTCTGAAAAGACAGGTCCCACTGAGCAGCTGGTGCCTATTGAAGCTTTCCTCTTCCATGTCAGACCTCAGGAAGCAGAGGTAGAAGCTTTCTAAAAGAGCATCAGTACCGACCGAACAAAAACCTCAGCTTCTATGGAACAGGAGGGATTGTTCCTGTGCTCGCTGAAATACACACAATCCAAACGTCTTTCACTGCAAGACACATTATCTCTTATTTGCATCTAATACTGACAGGTGCATTACACTCTGAGTTTTTATTCCTTAGTTTTCACCATGCACAAAGAATTACCCTGGTTTTTAATTATAATCCCTGGCTCATTTGCTGTCAACTCTTAACCTCTAATTGTGGGAAGACAATACTTCCACATGGTTGCTGCTACTAAAAGTTGTCTTGACTAGACCACAGCAATTCATACGGGAAAAAAGAATCCCAAATCTGTTTAAATTGACTTTAAACACCAGTCACAAATGCTGGGATTCAGACACAGCACGTGTCATGTTCCTGAGCAAAATGAATACTTTACTAGCCACAAGAAATACAGATATAGAGTTACAGAAAATGCTAAAACGATATCCCACCTCCCCCGTCAGAGGGGTGGAAATGGGATTAAAACAGAGGGTGCTTGCTTGCTCTGAAGTCTCAAAGCTTCCTGATTAGGTCCCATACAACAGAAAGGCCTCACCAGCTAGCTCCACTCTCAACAGCAAATGGTCGCACCTGCATGCTATGTCCTACAGGCACTTCAGTCCTGAAGGTGTCTCCAGCACAAAGAAACCACATGTATGACGGTCACATCCCTCAGGTATTGTTAAAACAAATCCCAGTAAGAAATACAGCAACCAAATACTGCTGGAAGACATATCTAACGCACTGACAGCTTATCAAGGAAACATGAATGGGGCTGGCCTTTTACTAGTGGGATATCAGCAAAGACAGGACAGGGTCTCAACTACCTTCTCCAAAACTTTCTTACATTCTTCCCTTTTTTCCAACTAAAATCACCAAAACCCACCACTCTTGTGACTCAGCTATTTTCAGGACTGAAAAGCAGAAGTCCTCTTTACTACCTTCTCTCCCAGATTCTCTACAAGCGTGACTGGCCTGACTCCTTCAAACAACTCACCAAGCACTTCCTTCCTCACAACGGTTTCGCACAAAAAAGCCAGACAGTTTGCATGTTGCCAGCAGCTGATCTAAATGAAGAGCATCCCAATGTTCACCAGCGTAGACCGGAGCACAGCAGCGATCCTCCACCTGCACCGGAGCTCTCCTGCCTGCCCTGGATGCTGTGGGCTCTACCCCATCTGAGGCAGTAAGAGATCACAATCAAGTGGTCTTTAAGTGTCTCTCTGTATCTCAGTCCTGGCAAGAGTTTTGGAACCTGCTGGCTGTTCTCAGCCAAATTTGACTGAAGATCCCAAAGATGTTTATTTCTTCCACGTTTTGTGCCAGCAGGTGCCTCTTCTGTCTGCGCTCCTACCAGTCTCCCCACTCTGAAGGAAAAGAGCAATAAACCTCAGCCCTTTTCAGACACTGGAGAAGCTGCACTGGGGAGAGCTGCTGGGAAGCAGGCTTTGTTGGCAGTTCTTGTCCTGAAGCTGTGATTTGGTTTTCAACCTGTGAATTTTGCACAGGCATAAGGGAACAAAAGAGCAGCCGAGTTGATGACTCTGCTGTGAACTGTAGCTGTATGAAGCTGAGCAACCACAGCTATCCAAATCAAACTAAATGCTTCACGTTTTATCAAAGGTCATCTCCGGTACAGCAGCTACCACCAGAGAGCAGGCTGAGCACAACGCTTGCAACAGCAGCTTGCAAATCCTCCTGTCCTAGCACCTCCCCTCACCCTGGCTTCCCCTGCATTCCTCTGCTGCAGCATGAGCCCACCGGCTCACACACCACATGGGTCACCTCCAAAAAGCCACTCACAGTTTTAGTGGTCTGAAAATGCCCAACCCCCCAGCACAACCAGGAGACCACCATTTAACCCCACGAAAGGCACAAGCCTGGCAAACCCTGCAACGAGTGCCATCGACCCCATGCTAGCAGTACTGGAGAGGGGACTCCCCCGTAGTTGCTGAGTTGCTTTAGTGCATTTGTACATGCAGGGAGGTACTCTAAGGGCTGTTTTGTAAACCCTACAATGAACAGCTAAAAAAGAAGAAATAGAAATAATAACCCATTGCACTAGAGTCTTTCCAAAGCTGACTCGTATCGTCTCCTCCTTGTGCTGTCCACATCTGGCTAACATTTCTAAGTGGGTCTCACACCCTGCAGCCTCTCCCCAGCTGCTCTATTGCAGTCACGTCCCACGCTGAGGATGCTGGGGAATGAAAGGACATTCTGCAGTTTCAACTACTGCAGCTGCAGTGACAGGGGCAAAGGAAGAGCAAAGATGATGACCGTGGCAGGTGTAAACAAGTTTCCTGTGAAACAGACCCCGTTTTTCCGTAAGCGAACACAAAAGGCACTGTTAAAAGCACTGGCTCCAGTTGGAAAAGCTGGATGATGCTGAAGGTCAGCGCTGGACAGGAAGCCAGGAGTGTTCAAGCTACCAAATATAGACAAGATCAGCTTCATATTCGTATTCATCCCATCTGATGGGGTATGGAGGAAAGTCACCCCACGAAGCCTCAGTGGAGCACCAGCATCAGCAGTGCCATGGGGAGCTCCAAGCCTCAAATTCTCCCCGATCCCCAGTCCCTCCTGCAGGATCCTGCACCCTCCCAGTGCCTCCCAATACTAGTCCAAGTCACCGCTCAAGATCAGTCTCTGGTGGGCACACAGTACCAGTCCCGAAGTGCCTGCCCAAGCCAACACCTCCTCCCTTCCTGGAGCACCACCAGCCCAGAGCAGCCCATCTCAGCCAGTCCTGCCGTAGCAGACCTGTCTGCTCCTGCCCATCACCCAGAGCCCACTCCCATCCACACCAGCCCATTACTCAGTCTCAATACCAAAGAATCCTGCCTGCTAAATGAGACTGGTTTTCCCCCTTGAAGGAAATAATCAGATAGAAAAAGCCGATCCTGAAATTGCAGAGAGCTGGCAGAACTAGCCGGACTCCATGTTGTAATGCACAGCAGCCTTCTTCATTCATACATGCATTTATTCTTACCTAAGCTGCAATAAGAACTGCTAAAGCAACAACTAGCATTTTTGGAAGACTGAAAGATTTAATTTTTTTCCAAATTCTTCTGGTGCTCAGATGGGTCTGCAGGCAGCAACAACAGATTCCCTGCTTCCTACAACGCTGGGCTGACAACTCACCTGCACTTGCACAGTGAACACAGT